GAAAAACCACATTCAACACACCTCTTAAATATAACTGGGGCGTCCACAGCTAGGAGCTGACAGGAAGTGGCCCAGGTACACAGCCAGTGAATGCCATGGGGGGCCATGACATCCTGGCTCCTGCACAGACTGGCTGCCTCCTTCTTAGGAGAAACCAAGTGTAATACCATGATTTATAATAAGAAATATATATTTGGTCTTTGTCCTGTTTCTGACACAGAGCTCCTAAAATCCTTGGAATTTCCTAGGTGATGGGAGCCTGCACAGTGCCTTTTGTTTGTTAATGAGGTGACTTTTGGAATTCACCTAAGGACGGGGCTGGTTGCCAGAGAGCCAGCCATGTGATGAGAGGGTTGGAACTTTGAGTACTAAACCCCCACCACCTCCAGGGAGGGGAGAGGGGCTGGAAGTTGAGCTCAGTCACCAGTGGCCCATGGTTTAATCAACCATGCCTAAGTAATGAAGCCTCCATAAAATCCAGAAGGACTGGGTTGGGAGAGCTTCCGGGTTGGTGAACACATGAACATCTGGGGAGAGTGGTGCATGCAGAGAGGGCATGAAGGCTCCACGCCCTTTCCCTAGACCCTGTCCCATGCATCTCTTCCATCTGGCTGTTCCTGAGTTATAGCCTTTATAATAAACCGGTCATCTAGTGAGTAAATGGGTTTCCTGAATTCTGTGAACCGCTCTTGCAAATTAATGGAACCCAAGGAGTGGGGCGTGGGAACCTCTGAGGTCACAACCTGGACTTGTGATTGGCATCTGAAGCGTAGGGTGGGGGTGGCAGGGGCAGTCTTGTAGGACTGAACCCTTAACCAGAGAAATCTGATGCTCTCTCTGGGTAGACAGTGTCAGAATTGAGTTGAACTGTAGGACACCCAGCTGGTGTCAGAGAACTGCTTGGTGGTGAGGGAATGCCCCCCTCTCACCTGTGCCCACATTATAATTGGCTATAGAACCCTTACCAAATACCCCCAGGAATCCTTTTTCTTGTAACTTCAGAGGCAGCCTGTTTCATGAGCTCCAAGTGTCAGATCGTGGGTTGAGGGGCTGGTCAGCCCGGTGATGGCTGCTCCTGAGGGAGGGCTGAGACTTGGGTTGTGGGGGAGGTGTGGGCTGAGCTCAAGAGTCCAGCTCCTGGAGCTTGTCCCATCCAGTGATAAGGGGCAGGGATGGAGCAAGCAAGGGTCAGGAGGTGAGCGTGAGTCTAAATCACTGCTCTGCCCACAGCTGCTGGGAGGCAAGCCCAGCCTGGCACAGCGAAGATGGCGATCAGCGAGCGAGCAGTGATTGCCCGGCAGGGCACTGGGGGAGGGGGAGAGGCACTCATGCTCATGGCAGAAAGAACATGCCTCCCCACTGCTGCCCGCCTGGAAGCTGTTGGTTTCCTGCAGGGTCCACTGTGTGCAGCTGCTCTGAACCCAGTGGCCAAATGTGAGTCCCACAGAGCCAGCTTTCCCCATGGGCTGGGCTGGGG